TGAGGCGGGTGCGAGCCGCGGCGCCGCGCCCGCCGCCGCCCATGCCGCCGTCGCGGCGCCTCTCGCACCTGACGCCCTGCCGCCAGCAGTGGCGGCCATCCCGCCTGCGGCCGCCCCCCCTGCTTGTGCCCCGCCGGTGGTGGGCGGCGGCCGTGGGGGTGTGTGGATTGAAGGCAGGTGGGTGGAAGAGGCCGGCTCAGACTTTGAGGATCTCTTCGACTTTGGGGAAGAGCCAGCCGAGGGTGATGGCCCCCAGCTGGGCGTGGCAGGGGCAGCACCGCTGCTTGCAGCGGCCGCGGTCGCCTCCTTGGCTGGGCTGCCCGGGGCAGCTGGGGGGGCACAAGCGAGCCAGGCGCCGCTGGCCGCGGTGCCTGTGGAGCGGCAACAGCGGCAGGAGCAGCAGCAGCAGCAGCCGCAGCAGCAGGACGCGAGCCACTTTGGTTGGAGGGGCGTGCGCGTGTAAGGTCATCTGTTTGGAGCCGTTCATGGATAGCAACACCCTGCCTGTTGCCTGCCGGCGGTCCTGCTCCTGACATGTGCATAGCACAAAAGGAATGTATATGCAACAAATGATTGCCGGCGGTCGTGCAGTATGTAAACTCACTCACCAGACACCCATGGAGAATAACTCAAATGTTAGAATATGGCCGGTGGCCCGTTGGGTGCTGTTCCTTTGAGCGTGGGAACCTGAGGTGGCACGCCCTGCTCCATCAGCCAAATGGCATGTCAAGGTTGATTTGCGACCTGAAGTGGGCATGTGAAGTCACTTTGCAGGGGCCACACTCGTCCGCCACCCCATGGGAAGAGGTTAGTTTGGCCTCGGGTACCCCATGTGCACTCTAAGCAATCGCATGCACCGGCTGAAGGTGGCACATCACAGCATGCGCCCCCCCCCCCTGCGCTGCAGGGAAAAAATGTGTTGACCTGAGTCGCTTTCACCTGCACACTCACACACTGCGCTAGACAAGAGTTCAGGACGGAGCTGGTAGCGTATGTACACGTCCGCTGTGGTGTCTGTATATACGGTAGTTGCCGACCGAACAGCGCCGGTCGAAGCAGCCAGCTCCTGCACCGCGAACTCCCTCTCTTCTCTCTGCGGGGCGACGCGAAATCTCGAATTCGTTCCAGCCATAAGGTTGAGTGTGTGAACGTCGTACGGTACCTGATCACGAGCGTTTTTCAGAGCTGGCATACGGTATCTTATACCCAAGCGCAGCACGCATAGTGGTCCGCGGTGCTGCGAGCTTGGCAAAAACCTGGCAGAAGCAAAGGTATGTCCTGTGCGGCCTAGGTTCCTTGTCAAGGACGGGTTGTGTGCTGCACCTTTGTGCGGTCTGTAAGACTCACCCTTGCGCCGAGCTAGACGCGCCGAGGGAGACGTGGTGGTTTGGATCGATATATGGGTGGTGGGCGTAGCAGGGTCGCAAGGCCACCAGCAGCGTGATGCCCGCCCCACGCCGCCGCCGCCGACTGTCAACACTGCACCGGCGATCCCCATCTCGCAGGTTGTTTGAATCTGTGGCCATCCTGGGCGGGGCTGACCTGTAACCTGGAGGGCCCGGAGCGGGCTGCATGCGGGCCGTTGCTCTGCAGCTTCAAGGGAGCCGGGTGCGCACCTGTGCGCAGTCAGGCTTCCCTGGGCCGCAGCAGCAACAGAGCCTGCTGCCCACACCAGCGCATGCCGCGTCGCAGCGCAGACCATGCTGCCGCCGCCAGAACCTGTGCGCCGCCGCGTCGTTAGGTGATCAGCAGCAGCATGAGCAGCAGCAGCAGCAACAGCAGCAGCAGCATCCGCGCGGCGCTGTGCGAGTGCGGGCGCTGGCCCTGAGCCCGACCCAGGTGTTCCCCTCAGAACCGCGCGGCGGCCCCGGCCCCGCCGACAGCGGCGGCGCCACCGCCGCCGGCAAGCCCGCGGCGGCCGGCAGCCAAGCCTGCAGTGGCGGGTGCTATCTCGGGTGGAACACAAATTTTGCGGCCCGCTTCGACATGGGTCCGGAGGTTGGCCGCGGCAGCTACGGCACGGTCCACGTGGCGACGCACCGCGACAGCGGTCGCGCATACGCGGTCAAAGTCCTCAGAAAGTGCCCCGGCGGCAGCCCGCCGGACACGAGCGCGGCGGTGACGCCCGGCGCGACAACAGGCGGCGGCCTGAGCGGCGACGCGGGCGCAGGCACGCCGTCGCTGACGGCGGGCGGGGACGAGGACGAGGGCTGCTGCGCGGAGCCTGACGGCGCCAACCTGGAAGCGATTGAGCGGGAGGTTCATGCTTGGACGACGGTGCAGGTGGGCCGCCGCGCGGTTGAGGGGCGGGGCAATAGCTGTCACAACAGCGGGGCATGCGGCAGCAGGGCGGCCAGCGCGACGCGCGCAACGGTTTTGGCAGGAACAGAGTGTATCCGGGCTTGAGGGTGCGGCGGCCTGCCGCTCGTTCGGGGGCACTGGGCAGGCGGCGGGCGCTCCTTTGTGGGCCCGCCCTGGGTAGACCCGAGTGGCCGCGCTCGCCGCCACGTCGGTGCAGGGGTCCCAGTTTGTGGCGCGGCTGCACGGTCTTTACGAGGACGAGACGAACGCTTACCTGGTGCAAGTGCGCCACTGCGCGCGCGCATATGCGCGAGGCAGGGCAGGGCCGGGCGGGGCGGGGAAAGCTACGGGCTGTATCCTGTGTTGGCGTGGGCGGCCTCGGAGGCAGTTGCGGCCGCCGGGGCCGCCGGCTGCGCAGCCGAGCAGCCGCCTGCGCTCAGCGCGCTCCGGCGGAACGGCCCTGGCTCGCGGCGAGGTGCAGCGGGTCCAGCACCCTTGATGCTTTCTCTTGCCTCTGTTCTCACCCTACTTCCTCCATCGCCGCCTGGTGACGCTCAGGAGTATGTTGAGGGCGGTACAGTCAGGGCGCTGCTGGAGGCACGCGGCGGGCGGCTGCCGGAGGCCGAGGCGGCGGGCGTGCTGCGCGGTGTGCTGGACGTTCTTGTGGAGTGCCACCGGCGCGGGCTGTGCTTTGGGGACGTCAAGGTGCGGCGGCCGCAGGCCGCGCCCCAGGTCAGGGCATCCGCCGAGCGGAGTTCAGGGGCTGCGGTGCTCGCGGGTGTTGCCTTTGTTGTCGACCAGGGTTGGGGCTGTCGGGGAAGGGCTACTTATGGCCCGTAGACACTTGACGGGCCCTTGAGGTTTCGCATCAACACGCACACACACACACACACACACACACACACACACACACACACACACACACACACACACACACACACACACACACAC